CCTGCAAGAATCTTGATAGTAAAGACAGCATTTCACTTATCTTTGACACCTGGTACCCCACACAGCAATTAATCATCAGGGACCGGCAGATACTTACAGGAAAGATAGAGCACCACTAGACATGTGCTTAGCAATACGAAAAGCTCTCCACCCCTGATGGCATCTGGTTTCACACCAACCCTAAGGCAACACTGATGTTATCCCCAGATGATCAATGAGGTGAAATGATTTCCCCAGGCCTCAAAGCCACCAACTGACCATCAAAATTCCTCACCTTTTGACTTTGTGTTCGACTGCAGCAGGTATTCAAATATGTATGTTCATAACAAAAGTTTAGGTTGGAAAATTTCATGAAATGCATGTGTTCCTGGGTACCTCCCACATGTCTGGGCTGGGACACAGAACTGTGCCTTTGGAAAGGGCCTGTCCACATAAATCTGCAGGCAACTCAGAGCCACAGAGAGAAGATTCCAGAAGGGCTTACTTGAGGTGTATTTGTAAATGGCAGTGTGAATAGGAGAAGAGCAGTGAACAGGATGTCACTAGAACAAGTTTACTTGTAATAAAATAATGCAACCTTCACAACAAAATGCCACTCTAAAGACAATCAAGGCAGTGTTACTCTACATTATCATAATGGATAAGGGTAATGAAACAAATACTATCTCAACAATCTAACCCTGAGGTCAAGTGCTTTTGCAAATATTCTCATTTCCTATCACTTATAAGTCAACATCAACAATATCTGATACCTTCTAAAAGAAATACATGCTGGTATTTTTTTTAAAGCAAGGTTCCTTCCAATTTCAGATAACTTTGAAGACAAAAATGGTACCATAGACATGTGTTCTACATTCTCAATAATCTTTCAGAAGAGTAACATGATACTTGTAACAAATTCTATAAAGAGCTTTGTAAGTCAAACATATAATGGAATGATTCTTCAACTTTGGCTAAAAACTTACATTTACTGGTACAAAAGTCATGGTACTTACTTGTATTATGCATATTCAATTGTTATAATAAAAGTCATGCTGAATTAATGCCTAATCGCTAACATACTATCAAATTCAAAATTAATGTTAAAACAATACTAATGATTCATTCACCAAATAAATGCATAACCTCCTTTCCTTTATTTTTCTTATACTCATACAACTGCTTCTTGAGAAATCCAACTCATTTACCTAATTCCAACTAACATCTCTCCTTGGCTGTTTGCAGCACATTAATACAATAAGAGCATCTTTTAGACATGATAATCCTCCTACTGACCCACCCTGTAAATACTTTAGAATCCTTATTCTTAGTGAAGGCAAAATATTTCTTAGCCTGTGCTGACCCATCTACAGTCTATATGATGTCACTCTTAAGAACAACTACAAAAGGTCCTCCCTTAACATCATCAATAGTTAAGTGAAAAACGACTCTAAGCAAAATGATGTATTATGCACCAATAATGTCAGCTTTTTTCCCCCCTTTTCATCAACATTATAACTAAACAATGTTGAAAGAAATGATGTTTTTCAAGGACATACTGTAGGAAGATTTCTCTCTAGGAAAACAAGCAGCCAACAGTTCAAGACCAAGGCCCACAGTCTCATTACCAGACCAAGTCACCATACTGAATCCATTATACATTAACCCTGTCAGTCATTCATGATATGAAAATTGCTGTTTAATTATGAAACACTTTCCCCTAAATAAGTTTGCTACAGTCCCACCCAGACCAAGACAGACTGGGATCACTATTTGTTTATAAATCACAATTCCAAAAAATAGCATGTGGACCTAAAAAAAGGAGATGCCTCCATATCTTAACTCTGTATGCAATTAAGTACAAACCTGTAAGTACCACTGTTCCTCTTTCAATAAAAGACAATAGATCTTTATTACCACCCAACAACCAGTCCTTGTGTCAAACAGTAAGTATCTTGAGTTTCAAATTATTTTACTTCTAGGAAAAGGGCCAGCTTTTTAATTATTAGCTATAAGTAGCACCTTTTCTGCTTGCTTTCATCTGAGAAAGATATTTGTGGGCAGGACTGAAACTTACACTTTGCAAGTGGAGCTCACCTATATGTAGCACCAGAACTGAGAAGAGTGTGAAGGACTTGAGCAGAGTTCAAGGAAGTGAAAAGGCAAAATAAGCCACTCTGCCCAAAAATAAAACCTCTGACAAATCTACTCTGGAGGCCTCTTTTGCAAAGACAAGGGTCTGAACAGAGCCCTAGCTGAGGATCCCTGTGCTGGTGGCTGTTTGTGTTATTTAGATCCCTGTTCTCTAGTCAGAAGAGGACACCTGAGTTGAATTAGGCCAATGAGATGTTCAGCTCCTTGGAACTTTAGAGCCAACAAGACCTATAGCTTCCAATTGGTCTTGACCTTGTGGAACAATCTGAAGTATTTGGGAAATGGTGCTGTAGACACTTTTCCTGTGGGTCCCGAATGGCATTCAAAGCCGGTCTGTGGTATGGCGCATAGAGATGAGCTGAGAGAAGATTCCCTTGGGTTCCTGGCAGTTTTCTAGTTTTCTCCCCAGACTACTGATGAGGTCTGGCTCCACTTTCTGGCTTCTAAATGAAACACACCCATCTCTTTGCAATTCCCTTCAGATGGTTCCTGTTTCTTCTAGCCAGAACTCCAAATTAATACAACAGATATAAAGAATATTACCCACTCTAACTTCTGCTGTCACAAAAAACTTCTGGGAAACCAAATATTGCTTATATTGGAAATTAACCAATAGTCATTCAGCTGACGAGATGAAAGAGAAATACCATGAGGGTATGGTTCAAAGCAAGAGTTAGAGTTTAAGCAAAGACATTGAAAACTCAAACAGTGGTAAAGTATAGCAGAGCAAAAATTATAAGATAAAAAAGATAATATGTATTGAGTGCTTACTATGTGAAAGGTACATTTCTAAGTTCTTTCCATATATTAATCCTTTTAATCACTATAAATGTACAACCACTCTATAAATTATCCCACTTTACCAATGAGAAACTTGAGGCACAGAGACATTAAATAGCTTGTTTAAAGTTACAAAATGCTAATATGAAAGTGTGAGCCATATTTTAACCACTGTATCTCCCACCTCTGCTGAACCAAATGTAGAGGGCAAGTTCAAAGAAAACAGCAAAGCCTCTTCACACTAGAGATCTGTGATTTAGTAAATACAAATTACCCAGCAATCCAACGTCTGATCTCAATCAAAAAATGTAAATAAAACCAGTGGGGCAGGAAACAGAACAGTTATGAAGGATAATGGCTACTCTCCAGCACACATCCTCAGTCATCCTTGTATACAACAGTTATCGATGAAACAAACTTGATGAATCTAAAGGATTTTTGTTTACTTTTGTTCTCATTTTAATAAAGAAAAATAACTACATCAATTTTACTGACAGCTTTAAATGGTACTAGCTGAGGAGAAAGAAAGAACTGCTAAAAGCAGATCTACAACCTCTAATCAGATAATTTTTGCAGGTTTCAAAGAGCTTTACCCAACTTACCAGTATGAAAACCATCTTTGTTACACAATACAAAGGAAAAACTACACATAAAATGCTATACTCTATCTAAAGGCAGGTAAGCGTTTAATTCAAAACAGGAAAATAATAAGTTGGAGAATTAGAAGTTGAAATAGCTATCCTCTCTACAAAACAAACAAACAAACAAAGAAATGGGGGGTTGGGGAGGAAGGAAAGAAGAAATTTAAAAAAATGGTATGAAATTCCAACAAATAGTAGGAAAATATTCCTAATGTGTTTAACTTTTCTTCTTTGGTATTAGCAATGTTTGTCAGCAGTGTCACAGAGGTTTCCTAGCTATCTTGTGCCTCCACTTATAAAGCATTTGATTTCCCTTTCACCTTTTTATACAATTTTATGTCATCATCTTCTTAGCTATATATCTTAATCCTTTGTTTGAAGTATATGTAAAATATTATTGAACTTTTTATTTCTCAGGATTTTGCAAGCAGGTAAAATCAACTTAATTTTTTTTTTTTGCCAGAAATAGTTAGAATGTTCATGCTTGAAAATGTGCTACAGTCACAATTTCAAACTTTTACTAATAATTAACAAAGACACAAAACAGAACATCCAAGGACTATTTCCATTAATCCCAGGCACGCTCCCTGCTGTGTCTGGCCACACTCAGTTTCAACTAATCTGCACTATCACAGTTGCTGTTCTTATCAATGACCACCAGTGGGAAAGAGAAGCATGAGTGCAAATTAGCCCATTTTTTAATTAGTGTTTTCATACTGGAACAGAAAATAAAACAATCGTAAGTAAGCACTTCTCTCACTTCTCATCTTAAAACTTTCCATTCATATCAGTATGTGAAGTTTTCCCCTTACATAAAGAAATACCAACTGGTTTATTTTAGTATCAACAAAAACAAGTTATTCAAGTCTATAGTTCATTTAAACTAACAACCACTAGCTTCACAGACAAATTGGTTAAAAAGTGCTTTGTGTACCACATTATGAAGCTTTCTGAAGCCACTGCAGCACAAGTTTGATCCCTGGCCAGGGAGGTGATCCACATGGCAGCAGACCTCTCCTGACCTGCCTGCTGCTCCCCTCAGCAGTGTTCTTTGTCAGTCTGCTTGTTCTGCTCCCCACTCTGTCTCTGGTGAATCCTCTCACCCACCACACCTCTGGCCTGTACCCCAGTTCTGTAAGCCTAAATAAATTAAAAAAAAAAAAAGTACTTTGTAATTTCACTATTCTTCGCTCAACTGAAAAATTAGCCTTAATCTGTAAATAACTAAAAAAAGAAGTAACCAGAAGCAATATACAGTGTTATGTGGTAAATATGTAGAATATTTACATATAAGTAAAATAGTCTATGGGGACGCAATTTTTTTATTTTCTAAGTTTTCTGAAAATGTCTTATGATTTCTTTCTTAAAATAATAATTGACATTTTTTTTTTTTTAAAGATTTATTTATTTGTACATACAGAACTGGGGTACAGGCCAGAGGCTCAGGGGCAGTGAGAGGATTCACCAGAGACAGAGTGGGGAGCAGAACAGGCAGATCAATGAAGTACACTGCTGAGGGGAGCAGCGGGCGGGTCAGGAGAGGTCTGCCACGCCATGTGGTCACCTCTGGGGCAGGCGGGAATCAAACTCATGCGAAAGTGGCTTTAGCTTCTCAGTGCTGTGCTTTAACCCGCTGCGCCACCAGGGAGGGCCATAATTGACATTTTTAAAAAATTCACGCATAATTGAATAGCATGCCTGTTTAGAAACTGAAATATCTACCTCCACTACAAAAGACAAAGAGAGGAGGGGAGGAAAGGAAGAATAAAAAAAAAAAAAAGAGGTGGAATTTAAACAAGAAGAAACTTGTATGTTTACCAGTTTCTCGATCTCTGACTCAAGGTTCTGTATACAATCAAGCTTTCTCTTGCGACAGCGCTGAGCAGCAATTCTGTTTTTACTTCTTCTTCGAATATCATGGATACAATCCAGTTGTTCTGGAGTCAGCTTGTGCATTTTCAACAATGATTGAAAGTCATTTCGAGAAAGTGAAATTATTCGTTGAGCATTAAATGGCAATTTTACCTGGGATGTGAAATAAACAATAATTATTGCTGTGTTTTGCTGTTACACGTAAGTCTAGGAAGAGGAAGATAAACATCGATGCTTTCCACAGAACCCCATCAATTAGACTTTAAAAAAAAAACTGATTCAAATTTCTAGAATCTTACAATTGATAATTTAATTGGTATTCCTTCCTATTCTGTTGTAGAGAAGGTTCTGCAGACAAATTGCAAAGCAAATTACTTTTTCAGCAAATCAAACATACTAACACAAATATTAATATATTTAAACTGAAAAGAATTTAAATTATTTATTGTAACATGTTAACACTCCACAGATATCATTAGACTTCTTTCTAAATAGTCTCTTAAAGCTAAAAGTCCATCTTATTCTCTGATATTACTGTGCAGCACTGAATTAATACTGTTATAATTACTCTAGTTGAGTAAGTACTGGTATAATTACTCTAGTCATTTCTAAGGTATTTGTCAGGAAAATGGTGGTTCCACAACTTAAAGACTATATATTTCACTTGCCAATGTCGACCAGAAAAACTTTAAAGTTACTTTCAACATACTTATATTTGGAAAAAGGAGGACATAATTTTTTAATAACAAGATTGTTAGAGCACTTAATTATTAAAAATGTAAATAGGACTCTGGCAGTTTTCCTGGCAGCTGACTTAATTTGTCTTTCAAATTTACAGGAACTAGTTACACAAAATACTTAAACATTTTAAATATACCTTTAGTAAGAAAAAGAAAATACACCTTTAGTAATCTTTCCATAATCACAAACACAGCCTTTATAAATGGCATACCAAGTTCTATAGCTATGCATATACATTATTTTTTAAATAAAATCACCAATCACCTCAAAGAGAAAAAAAGCATCTTTTACATTCCAATTTATCCAACAATTAATGATAAGACCAAAGGAAACACTAAAGAACTAACAAGCCCCTGTTATCAGAATCATACTAATACTGGAATTGTAACACCACTTCCCCAAGAAATCATCTACTCGATATTTTTGCTCAAAGTATGCAGTTCAAACTTACTATGCTTAGTATCTTACCAGCAATATGTAATGCATGCTAAATTATTAATACACACATTAAATAATAGTTGAAAAACTAACCTGAAAAGTTAGTTTCCATGAAAACTAATGTAAAGAAAACTTGCAAAAGAAGCCACATTCGTACGAGTCACGGCTAAAATCTGCTAAGCAAACAGTTCTAGGTCAAGGAATCCTTATATAATGAACAAGCCTGTGTACATAGGCCACATTTTTCCAGAAGTGACTATGTAACGATCACAAAATTATTTTCTCCTCTTGGGACACAGCATTGAATGTAAACAGCCAAACAACTGATAATCCACTCTGGTTAAGGTAAATACACCTCATTCAAACATATGAACAGAGAAGTGCTTCACCCTTCATCACACTCCTCTGGTACTGATCAGTGGTTTTATTTTATAACTGCGTGTGGGAATCCTCCTCGCTGCAGAGTTTGCTCTCACGCCTCTGTGCACCAAGAGCTCATATGGAGCACAGCTCAACTCAAGATACAAGCCAACAGTTTAACAATATACACATTTCCCCCTCACCTCACATTCTTGTTCTCTGGCCGAACAGGATTCACTGTCTCCTTCTGTGTCTGTCTCAGAGTCATCTCCCAAGCTAATCACACAAGTATATGGACAAGGTTCTTGCTGGGGTGCAGAACTATAATCATCGTTTCCAATTTCCAAACCGCTTGAACAGCCTTCGGTACTCAGAGTACTCATAAAAGGGCAGTTGACAGAACTCAATGTTGTGAAAGTCCTCTGACCTGGTTCTGGACTCTCGCTAATCCTGATACCTAACCACGGACACTCAGACCGCTTCTGTGAGATCTGCTCTGAACTATCTTTGGCAGTAGCAGGCAATAACTGCATTGGGCAAGGTGAGTCTGTGCTGCAAATGTCACTCCAGAAGCCTTTTGCCAAGTGTTCTGCCACTTCTCGCTCCACACTACTCCGATCACTGGAGGCAAGGCTGCCATCTTCCTGGGGGCCAGAGTCAGATTTCAAATGTAAATCCTGACTTTCACCAAGTATCTTCTCTTCTTGAACATCTGTACCGAACAAAGGCTTTTCTGTTAACACTGCTGTGTTTTGCATGCCAGCAAAATTCAAGTCATCATATTGGTCATACGTGTGTAAAAGAGACAGAGAATAGAGTCCAGAAGGTTCTGTGGAAGGATTGTAGGGAAGAGGAGGAGTCACCTCAGTTTTCTCTGCTTGGCACTGAGAAGCAGGTTCTTTCTTGATGGTTTCTTCATGTTCCATTGCCAAAGTACTTTCTTTGCATTTTAAAATCACCTGCAAACCTGCACAGTTCTGGACTCCTTCTAGGCATTCATTTTCAGATGTCTCATGGGGCTGAACAGAAGTGTGAACATCTTTGACACTGGATTCCACAGTACGAACTCTGTCAGTTCCAAATGCTTTTTGGAATTTTCTGTATTTGGGGCATAAAGATGGCAAAGCCAGAGCAGCATCCTTTTCTAAGCACCCAGATTCACATGTTTGGCTGGCACTGTCTTGTAAAGGAGGTGAAACCTTTACATTTCCTTGATACCTGTAGAGTTTACAATGGGGCATTTGAACATTTTTATCTTTCAAAAATTCTTCTACTTCAACAATTTCTAAATCCCTGTGGTCCAAAAGTGAAATGTTAAGGTCTGTTTCCTGACAGTGTGATGGGGAGCATTTTTTTCCTGAGCATTTTTGCTGGTCTGCAGTGGGATCCAAAAACTTGAACTTGAGAAACTGAAAGCAGGATTCCTCAATGTCACGTACACCTAAAAATTCCACACATTTGCACACTTCATCCACATTGTTCTTAGTTAAAAACAGCTTAGCAGTGTAGGCAAACTGAATGAAAGGTTCAAATCCTTTCAATGTCACCTGTTAATGTACAAAATAAATACAAGTGTATTACTACAAGAAAAGTAGAAGGGGAATAGGGAGACAAGTAACTTATGTGTCAAAATTACAAAACAGACATTTCAATTTGATAAGAAAACATATTCTAGGAAATGTAAAGCTAAGAAAGACTAGAAAAGCATGTTTGTTTATCACACCCTATTCAACTTCATGGATTCCACTCTTAAGGGCACCTGAATTATGGCTGACTCACACAATGTAAAGGCAAATAGTACCATAATTTTCCCACATTAGCTGAACTAAATAATCTGTGCAGCACACCAGGTCAAGTGCTTGCCACTTCAGTTGCATGTGGTCACTATGCTCCAACAAGTGCAATGGCGTCAAACTACAACAGTGAAATTGTTAAGGGTAAATAATAATGTATCTTAACCATTTACAAAGAAGTCCTGATCCACCACAGTAAAAGCGTGGTAAATAAGTGTTATTTTTATTTCATGATGAAAATGTCTCAAAAAATACTTCAAGATTCAGATTTATGGACCTCCTTGGTGACCTAAATCTTAGCACTGTCACTACTACAGCCTGAATTTGATCCCTGGTCAGGGAGCTGACCCATGGGGAGCAGCAGGCCTCTCCTGTCTCGCCCTTGCTCCCCTCAGCAGTGTATTTCAGTAGATCTGCCTGTTCTGCTCCCCAGTCTATCTCTGGGGCATCCTCTCATCTTCCATACCTTTCATGTATATCCAAATATATATACACAGAAATATATGTTTTTAATTCATATTTAAAAAGTGATCAAAGTCGGTGGCCCAGCGGGTTAAAACACAGCACTAAGAAGCTAAAGCCACTTCAGCATGAGTTTGATCCCCGCCCAGAAGTGATCGACATAGCATAGCAGACTTCTCTTGACCCTGCCCACAGCTCCCCTCAGCAGTGTACTTCGTCAGTTGGCTGTTCAGCTCCTTGCTCTGTCTCTGGTGAATCCTCTCACTGCCCCTGCACCTCTGGCTTGTACGCCAGTTCTGTATGCATGCATAAATAAATAAACAAACAAATAAAAAGTGATTAAAGTGAAGATCAAAAGCCATGGCTCATGTTGCTTTTGCAAAGATTCATGGCCTCTCAGCAACAAACCCTGTAAGCAGAAATGTGCACATCTACATGGACTCTGCCTATGCAGAGAAGTGAGCAAACTAGCTTAGAACATATAGAAAAGCCTCATGCACTGAGTATTTCCTATAAATACTTACTATGATTTTTCTTTCTGATCTTCTTATAAGCATGCTAAGCTACAAATGCTTAACTAATTTTCAAATGACAACAATACCAATCGCTGGTGAAGAGGTGGAAAAACTGAACTGTTTATACACTGCTGGTGGGAATGTGATAATCACTCTGAAAAGCAGTTTGGCAGTATAAAAGTTAACAAACAACTACCACATATCCCAGTAACTGCTGGTCTTTTGTAACTCCTGGCCTTTTGTCATTTTTAATAATTTTATAATTGTCAATGATTTTATGTGTGCAATGTTATAATACTTATGAAAAAAGTTACCATGCTGTTGCAGAACCAAGGAACTGGTCCCCAGACTCATGACAAGAATTTCTTTTTTAATTTCATTTTTAACTGTAATCCATAAGCGAACTGAGTAAGTTCAATTCAACTGAAGCCACACCTGTCTCCAAAAACATGCATCTCCTGCTTACCTCCTGGGGTAGAGGAATGTGAAGGTCGGTCTCCTTCTGGTCTACAATCTTTGAGTGGAAGTAGCTGCTGCATGCTGCCAGCACGGACCGGTGGGCGCGGAACCGCTGGCCCTCTACAAGGACAGTGACATCACACAGCACATCCTTCTTCCGCTGGTCGTCAAGACTGAGCAAGACGTTGGTGCTGTGTGCCAAAGACTCATAAGCCAACACGGCATTCTCACTCAGAGACATTCTGCGAGGCCAGGGGAGCCAGGAAGTTCAGTGTAAGCATGCTTCTGATCGTCATCAAACCTGCAGAGACCCAGGTCAGATCTTCACTAAAATGTTGGTAATAATGTTTTTTAAAATAATGATGGTACAAAGAAAATACTTATTGTGAAAACAATGTTTAAGAGAAACAACTTAGAAACACTTATTCAATTTACCTTATTGAAAATAGGTTCTTGATATCAGATTTTTAAATAAATTTTACAAAAAAAGATTCTTGGGATGGCAGAGGAAAGAACTATTTCAAGGGAGAAACTCATGGCTCTCTAAAATTGAGATAATTCATTTAAAACACCTACAATGAGCAAATTTATAGAGCCAGAAACTTTCTAGGTGACCTAATCCTGTCATTTTAAGACAAGTTATAATGAGCATGTATGTGCTCAAGGGTGTGTGCATGCGGTGTAAGTGGTCACCAGAGATCATCCCATGGGAGGGGAACTGAAGAAAGGGACAGGCATATGGCAATCATCACAGGCCATGCCCCAACTCCCCACAACTAACTACTAGTAGGACAATTTGGTGCCTCATAATGAGGGCTACTGTCTACAATTAAATTCCTCCAACACAAAGAAGAAAATAACTCAAACATGTCAATTCAGATCTTAGCAATGAGTATATATAACAAGCCTTATGTTATTCTACAGAATATATGAAACTACTTCATCATTAAGAACATGGTTTACCACACACAAATACCCTTGTTTTTCTCAAAATGTTATAAGATTAAGTCACCAAAAATTAATGTTAAAAAATATATACAAGCATGTAGTAGTCTACAAACATTTTGGGATCACATACACACTACTGGCAAAAAAAAAAAGAGTCATCCAATATATTTGTGTTTACTTATAGTAAACACAAATAGCAGACATGTACTACTATTCTTCTTTGTTTCATGTTATAAAACAAGGAGCAGCTGAAAGTATGAGGTGAAAATAGAAGTTCTAGAACTTTCTTCTGGACACAGATGGTCAAATGATTAGCATTCCAAGGTGAGTATGTGCACAGAGGCTATCACTGCAGGGAGACTAAGTCCCTCACAGCTATCACCCCTGTGTCCTTCACTTTTGGTCTTCTGACACTTTACTCACTGCCTGACATGGAAGTCCTCAAATGTTCTGTGATTGAGTAACTATCACTACTTTCTGATTCACCATACTCCAAGCAGAAATGAAAGGAGAAATGAAGTTCAGACAAACCATGCCCAGATCATGGATGAATTCCACCCACAAGACAGGTTATTTCACATTAAATGCATCTATAAAGTCTCTTCTATTTAGGTGCTTATTTTTAAAGTTCTCAGCATAGCCGAAACGTTAAGTTCCTCTGGAGCAGTCAACGCAAATAAAACCTCGACACATATTCAAACAATTTCCAAAGTTTAAGAGATGGCAGCCTTGCAGCTACTGACTCAGCAAACCACATGAAATCACAGCAACTTCTGGGCTGCGCCCACATAAAAAATGATAAATTCCTTGTAACAACTGGTCTTAAATAGTTCAATTATCAGCACAACAAATCATTATTAGGGATAACTGGGCGCAACCATCATCATTTCAAAAAACAATGTACCTTGTATGTGGGGGTCTCTCACACACCACCACTCGCCAGTGCACCCTCCAGCCAAGCACGACTCCGTAGATGACAACTTGCCTACTCTATCCCTGTTCCGAAGTCTCCGCCTGCAATTCTCTCCTAGCATCTGGCTTTCAAAACTCAAAACTACACTAAACATAACTTTCACATCTGGTTATTCTGCAGAACACAGCACCACCAGGAAGCAAGCAGACAAGAGTTACTACAAATTGATGGAGAATAAGTTCAGGGTCTCAGCATAGTCTATCAATGCTTTCGTGCATGTTCTCATCTCCCATCTCCACAGCAGTATAGTTGCCACCTTTCTCTTCAGTGTCTCTCCCAGAAGACCAGCAGAGAACAGGGCCCCAATCTCAGAAAATACACCCCCTACCACCTCTATCAAGTTCATTACCTTGAAAGCAACCCATTAGCATCTGCTCTTGATCCCATCTAAACATCCATGCTTCTTTGGAACTTTATACCTTCTCTCAACACCCTCTTTCACACATATCCAATTGCTGCTTCTATGCTGGCTCCTTCCCACAGGCCTTGTTCACAAGTCTGTTTACATCACTCAAGAAACTGCCCCCAAAATACTATTAACAGCAATCCCTCATTAAGCTCCACTTCTGCACAGGCACCGAGCTGTGTGTGCCAGATGCTACTCACATTCACTTCCCACTATAACCCCATGACACAGATGCTTTATATCACCCTATAGAGAGAAGGAAACTGAGGTTCAATGAGAAGACTCTAGGCCAAGATGGAGAGGGGCAATTAGTACTAACTCTTCAACTACCATACTGTCTCCAATTAGCATTTGCTGAGTGCAAAGAATGGAGACTCACTGCAGTAATTTGGAGAAGTATTAAAAGGTTACATAGGAGCATAAAGAAATGAGACTCATAAAAGCCAGAACAAATGAACTGTACCTGAACCTCAGAAAGGGGAAGGACTCAGGTCTTCAACACTGGAACTTAAAGGGTCCTTGGATCCCAGGGGGACTTTAGCAAAACAATTCCCATACCCTCATTCCAGAGCTGCCTTTGGCCCACATAATGGCCCACTGCTACCAGTTGGCTCACCTAAAATTCCACAGAGAAACCATTCTTGATTCAACCTGCCTGCTCAGATGGTTTTCGGTAACAGATCCTGTCACAGGTTCTCAGCCAGCTTATAGATTTACTGTCCGTGGGTGAGAAATCAACCTAAGTCCCTTTAGCTACAGCTGAGAAAAGCTAGAGGATCATAGTAAGTAACAACCAACCAAGCAGGAGTGGACTAACCACACAAGCACCATGACTGATCCTGTTCCCTCTGGACAGCCTGCAACATGACTGATCCTGTTCCCTCTGGACAGCCTGCAACTTAGCTCAACACCCCCCAAGCGGGTCCAAGCATCCATTCTCTGACTCAGTCCTACTGCTTCTGCCTCTCCACCTGAGACCGGCTCTTCTATCTGCATGGCTGCAATTCAAGCCCCAGCCTTCACTGGACAAATACTGCAAGCTTTATGCAATGGCTCATCAGTTTACACATGTACAAATATAGTAAAAATAAAATGTAAGACAAAAAGTTTCACTTATCAGTAGTTTTTCCTTATTAGTGCGGAGTACTCTAATTCCTAATCTGTTCTATTGACAAAAAATTCCAGTTGTGATCACCGGAATGGTTGATTTCATTAGTAAACTCTAAAGGCCATCATGTGGCGTAATGAAAACACAAACCCAGTGGCTAACATCACAGGGTTTAGAATCATACAATGGCTGGGTTCAAATGCCGGTTCTGCTACTTACTAGCTAAATGACCCAGCAAGCTGCTTTCAACTTTGCTGGGTCTGTTTCCTCACTTATATAAATCAGAGATAAAACCAGCATTTCACTGAATAATGAAGTTTACATGAGATGAGGGGGTTAAAGGAGTCGACAGATTCTAGCCTAAGCAAGTACTATCTGCTATCAATGATAACATCAAAAGTCTTAGTCCTTCATGACCATTCTTGATTCCCACAAAATTACTTCTTCCTTAAAAACCCTACAAACCCTACAATCTTCCTATTTTCTTATCAATTCTAAACCTTCAGCATACCCCCCAGGCCCCAGATTTTTCCATCCACTAATCCAGTTTTATCTCATCTTTTTCTCCCAGTCTTGTTCTTCTCCAGTTTTGCCATCCATCTTTTTCTGTCCCATAGTCACCAAGTTCCTTCTGATTCAGGGCCTTTGCACATGCCATACTTGCTCCCAGAATTTCCCTCCCTTCAGCTGGCTAACTCCTCAGCACAAACACCACAACTAAGCCCAGCATGTTTTCTGCCATCTGGCCCAATACCGGTTCCTTGCTTCAGAATGAATGGCTTGGCACTTGGTACAAATTCAAATTCAAAACCCAGATCATCTAGATCTTCCAAACACAACATAGTCATTTATTCATATAAAAATGGAAACAATGTCATTGAGCCAAGTGCTCCAGAGGAAAAGTCCCTTTGGATAACTTTTCCAGTCACAAGAAGCAAAAGGGACCACAAATCATTCCTCTGGGTGCTGAAAACATACCTGCAAGACAACTAGCCAATGAAGAACAAACCATGCCAACTATAAACACAGGCAAAACAACTGTTCTGTCTGAATGAACTGATCTGTCTGATCTCAGACTCAAAGGTATAGCCCCGCAAGAGAAAATTGTTCTTGAAAATCAATTTTCCTAACTCTGAAAACCATCTAAATAGTTGGTCAGTAATACATTTTACCAAGTAACATAAGTAGTAACAAAACCACGGCACACAATCTTTAAAATGAAACACTGCCAAGGAGCTTTCCAGACCAAAAATTCAGTTACTTTAATAACGAACAAATTCCTGTTACACCTGAATTTTTAAAAATTCTTGGAGCTATATACTAATGTTATAATGAAAACAATGGTTTCCTGATCTTGCAGATTGCTGATTCATTCTATAAAGCTGATAAAGGATGAGCAGGCATTTTAAAGCTTCCTTTACACCTCATTTCATAAATAACTTCTGCAATCTGTTCAATATACACAACATATGTGCTAGCACAAGTTTTTGTTTTTAAGACTGTGAAGTAGATAAAACACGATGCTGTGTCTTTAACAAATCTCAAACTTTATAAGAATAATTTACTTTAAAAAATGTTTATGAAATGCTTTTTAACAGAAATTCATAAGAAAACTGTATTCAAGCAATAACTGAAAACAAAGTTCCACTCATACAACAATGCTAATAATTTCATTTATAAGTCTCACAGGAAGGTGCTATCTGTTGTTAATGTAGAAGAGCATACAAAATAATCTGACATCAAGGACTCATGTAAAAGGCAGCAACTATCCAAACATCCTTTTTCTTCACTGAACAATGATAAAAGTTTTCCCTAAAAGTGCTTACCCTCAGCACACAACAGACTCAGTGCCTTGAAAAGACAGTGCCTATATTCAAAAGCATACCCAGAGATGAAAATGATGTGCATTTATTTGTAGTAACTCTTCAAGCAAAAATTACTTTCTGGCCAAATCTCATTTATTCGTAATATCAACTAATGAGGGCAATTATTTCCCAAACATTTCTGTTTGCCAAGGATTTGTATGCGTGTGAAGGCTAAGTACTTAATAACCCTGCACATCAAAAATGACACAGCAGAAAACCATCTTGGCCTTACATATAAAAGTAAAGTCTTTGAAACCATCACCTTTCCTACTGGCATTCCAGTTTTGCAGGAACCTTTCAAAGAGTGTGGGAATTCAAATCAGAGTTACTAATTCAAACCATCATTCTTACAACCCTGCAAGGAAGAGTCAATAAGAACAACTCAGTAACCAAGAATTTTTTTCTTTGCTCTTTACAGAGTTTAATTACTAGACTTATTTAAGCATTCTATCTCTTAGTCACATATTCCACTGCTCTCAGTAGGAAAAGTCCTAAGTATAATTGCATAAAGTAGATGGAAAAATAGATCAAAAAAAGCTGAATGAAAATGGAAAACAGAAGTTGAATTAAGGTAAACAGCAGCTTGTTTACAGCACCACCAAAAACAATTGAGGTTACTGTTTACTAAGGACTTTTACAATGATAAATGGGAAAATGATTTGGCAATCTATGTTAAAGTAATGTCACTAAAGATGCCATAGTTTTTTTATGGTGTGTGTGTGTGCGCGTTTTAAGACTTTCAGTTTTTATTTATCACACTATGCATAGTTCCATACATGAGAATTTTTTAAAATTTATTTTCCCTAATATTAAAAATTACATATTTAATCAATGACATTTTGTGATTTTTACTAGGTTTTATCAGCATCTAAAGTTATCATGCTAAAGTTGTAATTAGAGAATAGAGCCCCTTTGAGAAGTTTGAAGTTGTTTACAAATTCACCTATTTTGAGGTCAGAAACACAAGTAGGTCTTTTTACTTCCCAAATCAATAATTCCAACTTTGATAATTCAAAATAGCTTGGAAAAGAATAAAGAATCAGAAATCCAAGCCCCAGAACCAAAAAAGTTAACAGATGTCACTGTTATATCTTCTTACTACAAAAAACTTGAGAAGCAATTGAGTTTTTAATTTGCTTAACATATTTGGGAGCTAAGTGATTCATCAGAATTGTTATATCTCAAACGGAACATAAATGTCTTATGAAAATATGAACTAGCAATTAGAATTGGCCCTTACCAGTAACACTTATTTACTGCCAGTTGCTACTTTATTAATTTGGTGCTATGATTTACACAGAAAGAACTGTTATTTAATTAGAAAATGCAATCTGATCATTTTCTGACACTTGCATACATGTAAGTGAAACTACTGCCTAAATCAAGATACAGAAATTTCTATCATTCCTTAAATTTCACATGTCCCCTTATGATCACTCTGTGTCCCTGGTTCCAGGTAAACAATAATTTGTTTTATGTCACTGAAGATTAGTGTACATTTTCTGTGATATGAACAAAATCACATATACTTTGGTTTTGGGTTTCTTGTGTACTTCAAAAGTTTTCTTTACTGCCAAATAATATTCCACAGCATGAATATACTACCATTTATTGATTCAATTAACCATTGATAGACTATTGTACTAAAAATGGACAGTTTTACTATTTCCATGTGGGGATTACTGCTTTCAAAAAAGTAACTGCAAGGAAATATACTTCATTTTCTCTTGGGTAAATACATTATCTAAGAGTAGAAGAGTTGACTGATATTGCAGGTGTATATTTAACTTCTCAGGAAAGGCTAAACAGTTTTCCAAAGGAATTATCATTTCATATGGCTACTAATAATGTATAAATAGCACAGTTGCTCCACATTCTTGCCACCAGGGGTACTGTCAATCTTTATTATCTTGGCTACCATAGTTATATAGAATGCATCTCACTGTGGTTTTAATTTGCATTTCTTGATGACTGGTGATGGTGAGCGTCTTTGCATATGCATATTGGTCATTTGTACATCTTTTATGAGACGTCAATTCAATTGACTTCTCTTCTTTTACCCATTTTTTCCAAAAGATTATTTTACTTATGCATACAGAACTGGGGTACAGGGCCAGTGATATGATTCACCAGAGAGACTGGGGAGTAGAACAGGCAGGCTGACGAAGTACACTGCTAAGGGGAGTAGAGGGCCAGACTTCTAGAAGAGATCTGCTGTGCCATGTGGGTCACCTCCCTGGCCAGGAGTTGAACTCATGCTGAGGTGGCTGTGGCCAGCTTCAAAGTGCTGTGCTTTAGCCTGCTGCAACACCAGGGAAGGCCCTCTTCTACCCATTTTTAATTTGGCTGTTTCCTTCTTACTACCTCCTTCTACTGCAGAAGCCAGTAGAATTTTGATCAGGATTGCAATTAATCTATCAATTTGAGGATTAGCATCTAACAAGTATTCTGACGAACATGGCACAACTATTTAAGTCTTCTGTAACTTCTTTCAGTTAATTACTATAATGTTTTCATTAAAGTGGTCTTGGTATCTTTTGATAAAGTTCTTCCATAGCATTTTTCTGGAGGGCTTTTTTTTGTGTGTGTGTTTTTATAAGTGGATTTTTTCTGCTGACTTTATGCAAAACTAACCATAATTTCTGCAACCATACTTAATTCACTTATTAGTCCGGTTTCTCTGTAGATTTCTTGGGATTTTCTATATGTACAATCATGTCATCTGCAAGTAGAGTTTTGCTTCTTTTCCATCTTTATGATTCCCCCCAAGTCCCCTTTACTGCAGAGTGGTGTGATGTCATCCCTGCATTAATCCCTTAAGAGATATCTTATATTTCACCACTGACTGTATGTTAACTGTACGTTTTCCAAGATGAGCCAATGGGCAAAAGGGGTACAGTAATTATTCCATTTAACAAGTGTACCCTCATTCTCACACCTCTTTCTAAATACTCACCCCAGGTATGAGGGACTGGAGATGAAGAGAGTGATTGTTAGGGAGCAAAGCTAAGGACTAACAAAAGATCAGAATCTCCAATTATTGCAGTAAGCTGCTTTAGAGATGGGGGAGGGCTGACACACAGATAATGTTGTATGGCTTGATGACTCCCTTGCTGATGAGCAAGTGACTTCATACCTGACAATTTCCATTCTTTTAATTATTTATGTATTTATGTAAAGAAGGGACAAGAACAGCACTTTTTGTTGGGAGATCAAATGAAATCCTAATATACTCTTCTTGGCATAGTGTGCCTGTCACATACTGAGTACTCTAATTATTAGCTACAGTTTGCAACTGAAGGTAGAAATACTTTTTGAGTGGCACAGGACAACAGGGAAAATGTAGGGAAGATATGTACTAGCACACTAATTAGCTTCTAGGACCCAACTTTGACACAGAAATAACAACATGTACACTGTTAATTGGTTTTCAACTTCTAAGAACAATAAATGGAAGATTTAATTACAGCTATAGAACAAAATAAACATTATGAACATTGTTAACCTTGACAAAATAAAAGTAAAACTAACAGTATAAAGGATGGAATTCAAAGAAATGAAAAGAAAACCAGTATTTCTATGTGACTTATAATGTACAAGTCAAAATATAATGCTTAAGATTAATGAGACCAAGAAACAAAAACTCCATAAACTTTGGAGTTAGAGGGGTGACTGTTAAGGAAATGGAAGGAACAATGTGCTCACAAATATAGATGGAGTGGTGAAACCAAGGAAAATCAATAGGGACTGTAACAGGAAGTCAACAGTTAACATCATAGGTCATAAATAAACTGACTTTAAGCATCCTAGAGACACAGAGGTTAACTGCCAAAAAATTAAACACCAGAAACCTGTAAAGACGAATATTACCTATAGCAGAATTAGAGGTGGGGTGCAAAAGATGACCTTGTCTTGTGATCAATCCCTCTGTAGTTTTTTTTTAAAAGATGTGTTTGTTTATGTATACAGAATAGGGTTATAGGCCAGAGGTTCAGGGGCTGTGAGAGGATTCACCAGAGACAGAGTGGGGAGCAGAAAAGGCAGAGCGACGAAAGACACTGCTGGGGGGAGCAGCGGGCGGGTCAGGAGAGGTCTGCCACGCCATGTGGTCACCTCCGGGGCAGGCGGGGATCGAACTCATGCGAAAGTGGCTTTAGCTTCTCAGTGCTGTGCTTTAACCCGCTGCGCCACCAGGGAGGGCCCAAAAACATAATTTTAAAAGAAGTTTTAAGTTGACAGTGACCAAAAATTAACAGTAAAACTCAGTCAGGTCTAAACTGTTGACAACTGATAATAATCGAGTCAATGCAGCTTTTTTGAGATTCTTCAATCTTTAGTAAGAGAATTTGATAAAAAGAAATCAACCTTAAACTAAAATCTTGGATTAGTGTGGCAAAGGTAGATGTGCAGGGATGACAAATATAGCAACATTTCTTCTTGTTTGGGAAAAATATCATTGCATTATTTAACATTTTATATTTGCAACACCACCAATTCAAATAGATTTTTTTTTAATGTAAGGATGCCGTCTAGAGAAATGAGTTGCTTAAATGCCAAGGTTCCCCTGAAAGACAACATCAACTCTAAGATCAAATGGTTTGGGAGATGCTTGGCACAAGATCATTAATAGTTTATTGCTGTTTCTGCCATTATTGTGTAACTGACATAAAGAAAACTGAATTTTAAAGGAGTCTACAAACCCAAGAATTAAGTTACAAAATGAAGAAATTCCAGAACCCTTAAGAAACTAAGCCTAATAATGATCTCAACAAGATTAAAAGAAAATGTTGACTGCACAAGAGTTCTCAAGACAATTGATAATTTCACGGAAGTACAGAATTTCCAATTAAAAGAGCACACTGATCCAGTGACTCGATTTCCCCAGTTCTGTTACAGACCTAGACATGGATGCCCTCAGAAGGTAGTAACTTTAAGGGTGAAAAGGTCTTCAAGTTCAAGCATCACATTTCTTTTTTTTTAAAGATGTATTTATGTGTGTGTAGGGGGAGGTGAGAGGATTCACCAGAGACACAGTGGGGAGCAGAACAGATGGATTGACTAAAATACACTGCTGAGGGGAGCAGCAGGTGGGCAAGGAGAGGTCTGCCATGCCATGTGATCATCTCCACTGACTGCTGGGAATCAAATCACATTTCAGTTCATGCTGTAAGACCTAAGAGTGGGGGTGAGTGAGGGTGGGGTGTGTTCGGGGTGGGGGAGAGGAGTATGTACACATGCACCTTGTGGTGAGGAGTAAAAGGGATGGAATAACAAATGACAGAGAGAACAAACAATGACAGACTAACATTAAAAGGGCATTTAAAGGAAAAACATTTTCG